CGGCCGAACCAGGAGACGTAAAGGTTCCTCCAGTGGTGTAGGTCAGCCTGCAGGACCGCGAGGATGGTGAGGAAGTTAAACTGGTATAGGAGATTTAGGTCGTTAGGTAGCCAGATCCCAAGGTATTTTAGCTTGTTGTCGCACCATGAGAGATGGAATTGCGACTTGAGGTGTGCTACCTTTCTTGCCGTGAGCGTGATCGGGAGGACCTCCGATTTGCTCATGTTCAACTTAAGGTTGGAAATATCGCCAAAATCCTTAAGGGCTCGGAGGAGGTTGGGAAGGGAGATCGCGGGGTTGTTAAGGAAAAATAGCATGTCATCCGCATATGCGGCCACCTTATGTTCCGAATTGTGCAGCCTGTACCCCGTAATGCCCCCATTCCGTCTGACCGCCTCCAGGAAGGGTTCCAGGGTGAGAGCAAACCGGAGGGGGGACAGGGGACAGCCCTGCCTCGTGCCATTGCGAATGGGGAACGGGGCTGAGAGGGCGCCGTTGATCCTTATGCGGGCAGTCGGGGTAGTGTAGAGCGCTAGTATCCAGAAGTGAATATGGAGTCCAAATTGCATGTAACGGAGGGTAGCTTCGAGGTACTGCCAGTCCACCTGGTCGAAGGCTTTTTCTGCGTCCGTCGAGACCAGGACTAGGTCCTCGTTGGTCGACCGGGCGGAGTGGATCAGGTTGAGGGCTCGTATGGTGTTGTCCCGCGACTCCCTACCCGGGATGAACCCCACCTGGTCGGGGTGCACCAACGTGGGGAGTACGCGGGAGAGTCGAATGGCTAAGGTCTTGGCGAATAGCTTAAGATCCGAATTAAGGAGCGAAATCGGTCTGTAACTCCCGCAGTTGGTGGGGTCCTTTCCCTCCTTGACCCCTACATGACTGTCACCATTGCATGTAAAGAATCTTCTGGGAACCCACCACCCTCCAATAGGGAGTTAAAGCCCTGTAGCAAGTGTGGGAACAGAGTGTCCCTAAACTTACGCAAGTATGAGACCGGTAGGCCGTCTGGGCCCGGGGCCTTGTTGGATTTGGACTGTTTAAGGGCGGCAACAAGTTCTTCCTCCGTGATAGGCTGGTCCAGTTCCTCAGCCAGGTCTTCCGGGACCCTGCGCCTAATGTACTCCGAGAGAAAGTCATTCATCCGTTGCAGGCGTTGCGGTGGCGTCAATGTTTTAAAGCTCTGAGTAAAAGAGCCTGAATGTCTGAAGGATGTCTGCTGGAGCCCTTTTCGTCACCCCATCCCTCCCTGTAATTTGGTGGATGTGATGTTGTCGCTGCCTCTGTTGCAGAGTGCGGGCAAGCGTTCTTCTGCACTTGTTGGAAAATTCATAAAAATGTCTGTTGGACTTTCGAATGGTATGCAGCAGTTTCTGAGAGAGTAGGTCTTTGAGTTGCCTGCGCTTGTCGGTGAGGAGGCGATAGGTGTCACCCGTTTGATCTTGCTTGTGCAACGTCTCCAGGTCGGCTATCGCGTGTATCAGGGCTTGGATCTTTGCGGTGTGTTCCTTTTTCCGTTGCGTGCATAGCTTGATGAACTGGCCCCGAATCACGCATTTGTGTACTTCCCATACCGTCAGAGGTGCCATGTCTGGGCTGCTGTTTTCAGCAAAGTATTGGGTCAGTGTTTGCGCAATCTGTGTGGTAAAATCGGCATCCATCAGGACACTTTCATTAAGTCTCCATTGCCGCTCCCGTGGCTTGAAAAGCGGCAATTTAAGCATGACATGGACAGGGGCATGGTCGGAGTCGTGTTGTATCCCTATGGTGGACGTGATCAGAAAGGGGAGGAACTCTTGGGCGAGAAAAATATAGTCTATCCTGCTATATCTGTTATGTGCTGCGGAGTAGCACGTGTAGTCTTTAGCTTCGGGATGCGCCACCCTCCAGCAATCGACCAAGCCTGACCTAGCCAATGCCTGTTTGGCACTCCGTACACAGTGTGAGGGGATGGTGCTGGAACCTGTACACGTGTCTACCCGGGGTTCCAGTGGGAGGTTGAGATCTCAAGCTAGCACCAGGGTTCCTTCCCGGAATCTCTCCAACCGGGAAAGGGTGGCCACTAGGAACCAGTGTTGTCCCTTATTCGGGCTGTAAATGGTGGCGAACGTGTACTTGTGGTCCGCTATCGTACCCTTCACGAATAAGAACCTGCCTAGAGGGTCTGCCTGGGTAGCCGTGCTGAGGAAGGGGACAGTGTGGGCAAAGATAATGGCCACACCCGTGCGCTTAGCTTCCGGGTTGTTGGCGTAGAATCCCTGGGGGAACTTCCTATCCCTGATCTGGGGAGCGTCCTTCCCTTTAAGGTGTGTTTCCTGGAGAAATGCTATCGAGGTCTTTTGAGACCAGAGTTCGGAGCAAGTGTCGTCTTTTTTCGGGGGAGTTAAGGCCTCTGACATTGTGTGAGCGTAGAAGTAGAGGCGCAGGGTTGAACGTGGTCGCCGCTCAGCTACCCATCGGGGGGGGGTGGACCGGGGCCTCAAACGGGGGCGGTGGGAGGGAGGGAGAGGGGGAGGTAAGAAGGAAAAAAAAAAAAAATTTTTAAAAGGAGGGGTGGATGGAGGAAGGGCAAGATGGGGGGGCAAGTTGTGAACTGTGTCTGTCGGGGGTATCAGCCCACTAAGGGCTATGAAACAGTGGGCAACTGTGGCCCTAGGTCTTGTAGGGGAGACCTAATATACAGGAGGGCCAGTTGTAAGGGGGCGAGGAAGTCCGGTTGGTGGAATCCGTCAGGAGGACCGGTATCCGCTCTCCCCCGACCCACGGAGAGGGGCACCAAATAAGTCTGCTGCATACTATGAGAGTGGGTTGCTGCTTAAGGGGAGAGCGGGCACTTTGCGGCTGCCGGTCGGGACTCATAGAGGGGTCAGTCGCCCTGGTCACTGGTAACCTGCGCATTGTGTGAGTGGCGCGGGGTGGGGGCATCGCGGGGGGTCCCGCTTCTGTCCTGTGTTCACATCTAGGGTGGGGTCACCCTCCCGGGTCCCATGCGTCAAAGTGAGGGCCTATCCGTCCGGTTGTGAGCGGTCGGTGGCTGCGTATGCGGGTCACGGGTCTAATGTGGGGGGGAGAGACCAGTCCCAGTAAGTTTGTCCCCAGGTGCAGGCAACCCGTCTCCGCACCCGAGCGGGTTGAGTCGTGGTATTGCTAGGCTCATGTCCGGTGGGAGGCTAGATAGAGTAGCGGGGTCTGGTTGGTGTCAAGGACTCGGGTCATTTGTCACACTCCTGTAGCCAAGAGAAGCTGGCGCACCAAGGTATCCGCATGTCTCGTCAGCAGCTGGGGAAGGTCTAAACAGGGGAATACGATCAGCCATCGCTAACCTAACAGTGTGGTGTGTAACCTAACCGAAACAACAATATGTACAAGGAGTGGGGGGAGCGGGTCCACGGCACTAAGACCATGTCCGGGACTTGTCCTAGTCTGTCCGGTAAGGCACCCGAAATAGGCAACCTGCCACTGTACGGGGGCTACTGGAAAAAAGAGTAAAATAAAAAAATATATATATATATATTTTTGCTGGCGGGGCCATGCCCAGTCAGAGGCCAGGCCCCGGGGCAGGGTCCAGCTAGTGTCAGAATCGGGCAACCTAACAGGCTGGAGGCTAGGGGCCAGAAAGCTAGGGGGTCCTCATGCCGCCTCCGTGGTTGGAAGAGGTCTGAGCAGGGGGGCGTTGCCGGCCAGTGTATGTAGGATCTTTTAGCGTGTATAACCTTGTAGCGGGAAAAAACGGGAGAGGGCTCAGAGAGCCGGCTGGGAACATATGCGGCTAATCCTGCCCGTCAGACCATCAGTTGCCAAGCATTAGAGTCATCTGCTGATTGTGTGGGGGTGCGGAGGCCATCCAAAGCCTCAAACCTATCATTCTTTGCCCCTTGCGTCAGATAAACAGTCCCTTTTGATACGGTTGGCAGCGGTTGACTACATAATGTGCTATGCAATAATGGTTTCATACTCACACAAAAAAAAAACCATTTGTATGAAGAGCTAGTGATAGATCGTGTCTGGGCGTTAATAGTCATCTCTGCAGGGAGGGGGGAGTCTGCAAATAAAGCGCTATGCCAGCTCCAGGCCGCGGCTGTGGCTGAATGTAAGCAGAACGGGAGAGCATTTATCAGCCGTGGAGCACACAGCATCCCGGCCCCCACCATGTGCAGCCGTCGGCAGTATATGGTTAACGGCCCCGGGGCCGCGGCCTTGGCCGGTCGTGCGTCCAACACGACCCCCGACCAGCACAAGGCGCCACCCAGGCAGGCAACCGTTCCGCCCGATAAAGCGGGGTGGCCCCGGGGCCGCGACCAAGGGTGGGGACACGCTGTGTCCCGGGACCCCCCGCAGAGAGGGCCAAACCCCTGCCTCAGTTGGCGATAAGCCGCGAGTTGGGGCGGCCTGCAAGGTATCGTGGCTCTCGTTCCAACAATAAAAATGGGGGAAAATAATATATAACGTAGAGGTGCGGGTCCCATCCGCATTTCTACTAGAGCCCCCAGTCCCCAAACATGCACCCATTGATACCGTCACAGCCTGCAGGTCCAGGGGCACCTCCCGGTGGCCATGGGGGCAGGTAGGCCTCTTGCTCAGAAACTGGCTGGTGTGTGAGTAGAACCCGGGTACCAGCCAGACGGGTGTATGAGGGGGATTCGAGCAGTCTCACACAGGTACCCCGGGCCTTAGAGACCCTGCTTACCCAGGTAGTCCCAGTTAACCATATCCCCCATTCCCCTCCCAAAAATGTCCGAGACCCGTGGGTCAACCCCCCATCTGTGCCACCTGTGTAGTCCCGGATGGTTCATGGAGGCCGGGCGGGCTGCCCGCCCAGGGTCCCCCCCGACTGAGAGGAGGAAAGAGTCTGTGAGGAGGATAGACTGTGGAGTCACTTAGCTCGCGGTGTTGCCGCCCAGGGAGCCCCCTGTAGGGCGATGCCGGTCCGGGAGGGTCGGCGCTCTCTGGACTCGGGCAGAGGTGCCTGCAGCTACTCCTCGGATCCATGGGGACCCCCCCTAGCGCACGGGCTGTGCTTCTCTCCGTGTTTGGTTACGCAGCAGCTGGGGGACCTCAGGGTGGTCCAGGCGCAGTGGAGGTTGGTCGAGGATCCAGTTGCGGATGGTGACTGGCGTCAGGTCCAGGGCTCGCAGGAAGCTAGGAAGGTCATTGGGCCATCAGGGAACACCAGGTATTGTCCTTTTTGGCCTGGAGGCAAAAAGGGAAGCCCCATTTATAGGGGATGCGCTTGTCCTGGAGGATGAGTGTCAGCGGCCTAAGCTCTCTCCGGGCGTCCAAGGTGAGGGTGGACAAATCCTGGTACAGCGATATTGGGGCTTCCTGGAAGATGATACGTTGCGGGCGCGCCGCTCTCATGATGGCTTCTTTAAGCTGAAAGGAGAGGAGGCAGCATATCACATCGCGTGGGAGGCCATCTCTCCTCGGGGGACGCAGAGCCCTGTGGGCGCGCTCTATGTGGTATTCGTCCGGGGCCTCTTCCCCTAGGATGTGGGTAAACAGCTGTGGGAGGACATCCCCAAAGTCTTCATTGTCTGCTTCAGGGAGGCCTCTGACCCTAATGTTATTGCGCCTCCCTCTATTATCTAAATCTTCTACTTGCCTGCGAAACTCCAGGAGCACCGACCCCTGCCTGGCCATGGCATGATCAGAAGCCTGGGAGTGCTGGAGGGCCTGCAGGTTTTCCCTCTCCAGCTCTGTGACCCGGTCTTCGAGGGCCGTGATGTGTGAGAGAGCCTCTCCTCGCGCTGAGCCCTGCTCCACTCTCTGCACCCGGGGAGGCGGCGGCGGGGTAGAAAGGAAATCGTCCATCGGCCCGGCGTATTTCCGCTGGGGGCTGTTGCCTGAGGGTCCCGGGGTGCCCTGGCGTCTGGGTTTCCCCATTTTCATGCAGCAGTGTGGCTAATTACTTGGGGCGATGTGGGCCGGGGTTGCGGAGCTCCAGCGATGTACGGCTTACTCCATTTGCCAACAAGCCACACCCCAATAATTAGTTTTTAAGCCATAAGCACATACATTTAAAAGGCATTTGTGTTCTACTCTACACATGGACATCAGCAGGAATTTTTCCAGGGGGGGCATAATTGTAATGACATCCATGCTTGGTCCCTTTTTGACAGTGTCATGAAAGGGAAGGGGCATAGTCATTATCACATAAAGCCAGGGTGAAGAGCGATTTCACAACTATGGTGTCAGGAATACATGTTTGTATTCCTGATACTATAGTGTTCCTTTAAGCAAATTAAAGGAACATTCTGGTCACCATAACAACGTCATCTAAATGAAAATGCTATGATGCCCTTGGGTGCACTCTTTCCTTGAAGGGGTTAAACCGCTCTCAAATGGTTTAACCCCAAAGACTTCGATCTGCTCCAGATCTCCAGGTCGCTCAGTGGTATTCGGCTTCTGAAACGGAGTGTCAGGTAGTGCAGATTGACGTCCGGCATGGGTGCTACAGATTGGCTAGAGTGGTCAGTTGATGCTCTAAGCCAATCGCTAGTTCCCGGTTCATAAAAATGTTTTACTTTTTTATGAATGGGGAGCTACTGATTGGCTTAGAGTGCCAGATGACCGCTCTAGCCAATCAGCGACACCCCTACCCAGTGGCACTCTGTGCTTCCTGACACTCTGTAAATAAAAGTGAACACATCAACACTGATATTTTTTTTTTTTTTTTACCTGGGGAGATGAGGAGGTCCAAAGTTTCCCTGCCAGGCCCAGGTACCAAAGCCTTATGATGTGGTGTCCAGAATAAAGTGGAGGGTTCACTTCACTTGTCCTTCCTGCACCAATCTCCTTTTCTTCTCCTTCATTTGCCACAGTCTTCTTTTTCTTCTGACACGGTCTTCTCTCCTCCTTGGCACCTTCTGCTCCTTTACCTTTCTGCTATTTTCTGCCTTTTTTGCGCCCTTCTGCTCCTTTCCCTTTCTGCTCATTGCAGACCCTTTCTGCTCCTTCTCCTACTTTACATTTGTGCTCCTTCTGATTCTTTATGCTTCTTTACCTTTGTGCTCCTTCTGTCCCTTTCTGCTCTTTGCAGACCCTTCCTGCCCCTTGCAAACCCTTGCTGCCCTTTCCTGCTCCTACTTTATGTTTGTGCTCCTTCTGCCTCTTCCAGCTCATTGCTGACCCTTTCTGCTCCTTGATGTCCCTTCCTGCTCATTTCTGTTCCTTCTCCTACTTTACCTTTGTGCTCCTTCTGTCCCTTCCTGCTCCTTGCTGCCCTTTCCTGCTCCTTGCTGCCCTTTCTGCTTCTTGCTGACCCTTTCTGCTTCTTGCTTCTTGCTGACCTTTTCCTGCTCCTTGCTGACCCTTTCCTGCTTTGTTGCCCCTTTCTAGCTTTTTGTTGCCCCTTTCTAGCTTTTTGTTGCCCCTTTCTAGCTTTTTGTTGCCCCTTTCTAGCCCTTTGTTGCCCCTTTCTAGCTCTTTGCTGCCCCTTTCTAGCCCTTTGCTGCCCCTTTCTAGCTCCTTGCTGACCCTTTCTGCTTTTTGCTGACCCTTTGGGCTCCTTCTCCTACTTTACCTTTTGTGCTCCTTGTTGACCCTTCCAGCTCCTTGCTGCCCCTTGATGTCCCTTCCTGCTCATTTCTGTTCCTTCTCCTTTCTGCTTCTTCATTTACTTTATCTTCCTGCTCCTTGCTGACCCTTCCTGTTGGCGGTTTCCCCCATCCCTCACTTACCTGATCTGTAGGTGGATCCCCCCATCTCTCACTTACATGATCTGTATGCTGCACCCCCCATCTCTCACTTACCTTATCTACAGGCTGTCTCTCCCTCCCCTTCCCTGATCTGTAGGCTGCCCCCCGCCTCACTAACCTGATCTATAGTCTGTCTCCCCCCATCCCTCACTTACCTGATCTGTAAACTGTCTCTGCTGGCTGCATGTGCTGCTCCCCTGCGGTCTCAGAAGCAGGGATAAAGATGTAGCTTCCTATCCCTGTTTCTCTCCATACACCGCGCCTACCTACTGGCCGGTGCCGGTATTGCAGTGCATTTTCAATCTCACACGAAAAATAGCAGAACAAGCTGAAAAATCCAGGGCGGGGGCAAGTGCCCTCCACCTGCGGACGCCCATAACTCTACAGTTGGGAAGGTCCAGATGAAACAAAAATGATTGAGGTGATAAACTGCTTCTTGTGTACACAGCGCCTTCAAGATGTTTTGTGATTCTTAACATCTACACAAGACCCTCACTTTCCCACCATGTGTGATACAGTGTGCTAACTGATTCTGAACATTTCCAACAGAAATGGGAATAGCTATGTTAAAATTTCTTAATACTGTTAAGGGTTAAATACCACCTATCTTTGACCTTAGTGCAGACTTAAGCTATGAGTAAGCCTTCTTACCTGAAAGAAAGTCACTCCCCAGGTTTTTAAGTGGTAAGAATTTCCCAAAGTCCCTTCGCTATTTGTTTATGGACTGAACTTTATCTGTTCCTCCGTTCATTAAATGTGTGTTTTTTGGAAAGAAGTTTATTTTTAAGTAGTGTGTGTTTTGTTTTATAAATTATTTCAAATTCAGAATGTTGTTGTGTATTTTTTATTTTTTTTTGTGTTGTTCCCATTTTATTAATTACATGTTTTAAGGGACACTTCATAACCCAATACAACATAAATAAAATCACTATTCAGTAGATGTACCCATAATGAAAACTTGCTTGCATTTAATTATGCATTTTTCTCATTGGGGATATATCTAAAACATTTTGCAAAACCTGCAGTTCTCTTGTCTACAGCCTTTGCAAACACTCCCCTTCTAACCCCGCCCAGACTTTCTGTAGGTGTCCAATCACAGGCTTCCCAATGCAGCTCAAAGCAAAGCCTCTGTGATGCAGGTGCTTTGGGTAATTGCTGCCTCTTGAGTTTAGCTCCACTGAGCTAACCAAACCAGGAAGTAACAGGACCAGTTGTCTGCTTGAAGTTTTAAGGGGGTGTAACAAGGTAAATTTTTAAAAGTGTCAAATGCTATTGAAGTCTGCACTTTTTGCAAAATGGGAAAAAAAGGGGGGAGGACACAAAAAGCTTTTCATCAAGCTAATGTTGTTTAGGGGTCTGGACAGTCCCTTTAATTATAATATAATTGTATAATTCATTTTAAGGTTTTTTTAACAAAGTTTGTAAACTGGAGAATGGTAAGATATTGCCAGCTGGAGCAATTTGAGATATAAGGTGGATATGATTTTCTCTCCACTTAGCTAAATGTATAGCTTGAATATAGAATTGGAGAACTCCTGTCAGGGTAGAAGGAAACAATTTATTAGATTTTTTTTCTTTCTTTCTTAAAATGGCCCGAGCTATTATTATATCGCTAAATATTGGGTATGGAGTAAAAATTGTCTTCTACCAGTCAGGATCTATCCAACCTAGATTAATCAAAAGTATGTTTCCTCTTCCGCTATTTCGAATTTCAGGAACTAGACAAAAACAAGAATAAAGAATAGTTTAGGAGAGTCCTGTCCAAAAGGCACACCGCTGTTGTAAAAAAAAAAATAACACAAAAAAAAACCTCCTAAGGTCAGCAAAGCATGATGGATGTTGTAATTCTAAACGCATTTTCTGGCAACAGATAAAAGGCACTATCTATTTAAACACCTTAGTAATTTAAACCTTTATTATGAGCAATTTTGGGCACAGTCACAATTTTATCAATAGGTCCCCCCAAAATACTCCATTTCTCCACAACAATCATCCCCAAACTGGGAGCAGCCTGCCAAGCTGGGTACTTACTGATCATCAATGAATGACGGAGAGCTTAAAGCCTTGTCCCGGGTAGAACGCTGAGCAACAACGTAAGAAGATTGTGTCTTTCCCCAAATTAGAAATAAGCCTGGCCAGTCTGGATCACCATCGGTGCCATTGATGTGGTGTGTGTAGTGGATTTATATATGCTCTGAAATCACCTATGCCACAAAGGCTAGAGACCGCTTATAAAAAGCAGGAGTGTCCCTAACTCATACACTTACTTTCTTTGATGCAACTCCCCAGCTTTGCCAGAACAGGCTTGTCTATCTAAGCAAGCAACTTACCCTCTGCATAAAGGTTCCCTGTCTATAAAGTGCAATTTCTAATGTGCAACATACTATACAGAGCCTCTTGGGCCCCATCCGCATGCAGCACACAATACAGAGCCGCCTGCCCATCTCAACTCAGAAAGTGGTTGTCTTGCTATTTTATTACATCTGGTGTGTGTGTGTGTGTGTGTGTGTGTGTGTGTATATATATATATATATATATTTATTACAAACGCTTTAACCTGCATCAACTTGTATTTCTAATTCCCAATTCAGAATACAATCGCTTAAAAAGCCTTTTTTATTCCTTATTTGTGCCAAGGCTCTCTTGGCTATGCTTACCCCTCTGATCATATGGTGTCACGGTGAAGGCATGGCCTCCTCCACAGATATCCAATCCAATGCAGCACACAGGAACATTGGGGACCAGAAAGCACCTCCAGTGGCTGTTGGTATGATAGTCACTAGAGGTGTGGTTTTTCTTTACATTGCAGGGTTAAACATACAGAACCACAGTGCCTAGACCACTTCATTGAGACGAAGTGGCCTGTAAGACTTTGGTGGTCCTTTCAGCACTATAAAAACTTGGCTTTATTTCAAAGGTTTTTATGTGTAGAGTACCCTGCATCCACTCTAAGTTTCTGAGAGTGGTTTACAACTGAAGCAATTTGTAACAATCATTGCCACTATAATTTGGCCCAACCTGGCTCGGACATCGCAAAAGAGGCGTTTTTGCTTCCACCTTTATTTTGTCAATTGTTGTCCATATACAATCACACTCTGACAACTCCATACAGTC